CTCTGACATCCTGCCTTGTTCTAGCATCCTCTCTGCCCCTTCCCTTGTTCCTGCTCCCTCCACCTGGCTAGACACCCTACTCCCAGGCTGCTTCTGCACCCCAGCTCCCTCCTAGATCCTGCACCCCATCCCTATCCTACTTGCTGGCAGCCCTGCCTCACACACTGTACTCCTCATTTTTGGTCCTATCCCAGAGCCTAAGGAGGTCCATGAAATCCACTACAGAACCCCAGAAAAGTAAATCTGGTCTATGGGAAGCCCTGAACCTCAGTCCCCCCTTCCCGTCTCTTCCCTTCCCCCCGTGAGGCTGAGGCACCAGAGGAGTGAGGTGTCTCAGTTGGGGCTACATCTGTAAGTGTTGGGGGGGACAGGGGTTGGAGGAATTTTTTTTTTTGCTTCTCACTTATGTGGTCTCCAGCTGATTTTTTGTGGGTCAGTCACCCCTGACCCAAAAACGGTTCCTCTCCCCTGCCACAAATAAAGAAAACATTGATACCTTTTGTGTTGGACATAATATTTTACTATATTTAAAATGAAGTTTGATAAACTAACATGAGAGAGGTAAAACACTTAATCTGTTTCATAATTTAAATTAAACTGTTCTTACTAGCTGCAGCTGGTTCAGAAAATAAAGTCACCATACCCAGCAGGGTAGTTCTCAATCCCACCCCCTTCCATGTGAGGCCCCGCCCCTTCAGAGCCAGCCTGCAGCCACTTCTGAAATTTCTGAAATGCCCCCCCCCTTTCAAAATTATTGCCCACCCCTGCCCTATAACCTGAGTTGCCTTTAAGCCAGGCCTGGGCAAAATACAGCCTTTGGGCCTGATCCAACCTGCTAAGCCACCAGATCTGGCCCGCAGAAGCAACTGGGAGCCCCAGGCAGGTTCCCCTGCTTTTCCTGAAGCCACACAAGCCACTTAGAAATAGGAATGTTAATTTAGTTTAGTCAACTAGTCGACTAGTTGATGACATTTCCATGGACTAGTTGATAAGCAAGGGAGCTGCAGCAGGATTAGCTCCCAACCCCCGAAGCTAACCCTGCTGCAGCTTTGCCTTTTAAATGCATTAAGAGCTGGGATGGGCATTTGTCTCCTGATCAGGGCCGGCCTGAGGGCGCGCGGTGCCGCCCCTGGGCACACAGCGCATGTACGGGCTGGCCACAACCATTGGCTTGCAGCCTGGGGCCTACCCCCAGGGCGCACGGTGCATGCGCTGCCCACCCTGGCCTGGCCAGCATTGCTGGCATGTGCACCGGGCCATGCAGGGCCTCACAGCCATGGGGGGAAGGGTGCTACGGGAGCCAGGTGCATGGCGCCTGATGGTAGCTGTAAGGGAGGCTGTGTGCCCTTTACAGCTGCCATCAGGCATCCCCCATCGGTTGGCGCCCTGCCAGCTGCCCAGCTCGCCCATGCCTTTGTCCAGCCCTGCTCCTGATGTTCTGGGAAGTAGCCTGGTTGGGCTGTTTTCCCACATCAACACAAGGTTCTTCCCTTGCATTTTCCCTTCTGCACTCAGGGCTTGTGGGTGGAGAAAGTGTCACTCTCAGAGGTTCCTGGTGCAGGGTTCATGCCCCAAATTGCCAAGCAGGGGGCAAACAGAGCGTGTGTTGTGCTGTTGGAGGGAAAATCCCAGCCCCCACAGGAACTTGGCAGCTCAGAGTACAGGCTCCCAGCCAAAGGTGCTACTGATGGAGCCAGCCATGGGACCTGACAGCGCTGGCCCTTCTTCCCCCATGGGGGCAGCCCTGGGTCCTTCTGTACTGCCCAGTATGTGGGGAAAAGCCTCTTGGGGAAATAGATCCTGACCCAACTGCCACAGGAGCCCTTGTGTGTCAATGGGCAGAGGCCCCACTAGGGATCAGCCCTGATTGCCCAGCACCTTGTGATGCTGCTCTGGGAGCAGCCTGAGAGGACCTTTTGTGGGTAGGGAGCAGACTGGCTGGGATGTGTGTGGGGGTCCTTAGGCCACATGGAGGCAGGGTCTTCCCTCCTCTTGCTCTGCCTTGTCCATGGGTTGCTCTGGGGCCTTGGCACACAGCTGCCAGTCCCAGCTGCCATTGCTCTATGTGCCCAGAGAAGGGCAGGTGTGTTGGGGACCAGGCTGCCTTGACTATTGAGCCCTGCTGCTCCTCCCTTGAAGTGCCCTGGGGGCAAAAGGAACAGCCTGGCAGCTGCTAATACAAGGACCAAATATGCGGGCATCAGGTGAGGTAGCGTGAGACACAACCTCAGCTCCCCTCAATCTCTAGCCAGGCTATTATGTTCTAAGGCCCCAACATGCAGTAGCCACCCCACTGAACCAGCCGGGCCAAACACCTAACTCTAGTGGACGTCAGTCACCCATCGGGGGGCAAAGGGCATTTAAGGACACGGAAGCAAAACACTGGCATTACCAAGAATTTGCAGCAAACCAACATCTCACCAGCAGGTCCCACTGAGATTTGAGCTCAGGTTGCAGGATTCAGACTCAACTGCCTAGGAAGGTACTGGAATCTCCCTCCATCACAAGCTGCTCAGAGAAAAAGCTTCTAGACCAGCTAGGAGCACAAGAGAGCAGACTATGCAGTCTCCAAACAAAACAGAGAAAGGCAGTAGGGTCAGAGCACTGTTGCAAACAGGAACAGTGGCTGTGTCTACACTGGCATGATTTTGCACAAATACTATTAACGGAAAAGTTTTTCTGTTAAAAGTATTTGCTCAAGAGAGCATCTATACTGGTATGTGCCTTTGCGCAAAAGATTTGCTTTTGCACAAAAGCATCCGTGCCAGTGTAGATGCTCTCTTGCACAAGAAAGCTCCAATGGCCATTTTAGCCATCAGGCTTTCTTGCACAAGAAATTAATGTTGCTGTCTACACTGGCTTATCCCTGAGTGGGAGCGTCAGAATATTTGCGGAAGAAGCACTGATTTTGTACCTTACAATGTCAGTGTTCTTGTGCAAATACTTGCGGCCAGTGTAGACAGGTGGCAAGATTTTGCACAAAAGCAGCTACAATGTAGACACAGCCAGTGACATTAAAAAAAGGCAGAAAATGGAAGTGCAGCAAAGCATCTTGAGAAACAACAATAGGAAGGACATAGGCAGAGAACAGCTGTGTTTCTTTCTTTAACCATTAGCACCAGGGGAAAGCACAAACATAGTCCCGCACTATCACAAATTGTGCAGTCAAGTTTTCCCCATTTGGGGAAATTGCAGGCATCAGCACAGCCACAGTGTAATGATGAGCCTCACCCTGGGAAAATCATCTTCATGATCATGCAAAAGCAACAAGGAGTCCTATAGCACCTAATAGACAGATGTATTGGAGCATCTGACCAAGTGGGTCTTTGCCCATGAAAGCTTATGCTCCAATACATCTGTTAGTCTATAAGGTGCTACAGGACTCCTTGTCACTTGTGCAGAGCCAGACTAACGCGGCTACCCCTCTGATACTTGACTTCATGATCATGGTATTTCCCCTTCTAGGTAAGTATGAGATTCCCAGGCACAATCGTTGCCTGCCCCCAAGCACCACTCATAGTGGACTCGGATGTATCACCCCACATGACTATGCCCCCACTGCGCCCCTCCTGCTTGCACCCACCCTGATGTGCCCCAATGCTCCAGCCCAACCCCCTCGCCAAATTCGGGCCCTGCTCACCAGCCTGCTCCTGCTCCCTTCTACCTCTCCCACCAGAGAACTTCTCCTGGCCAGTCCTGGGCACATCATGCTGCCTCTTATGGGCTTCCCTTCTCCCACTGGCAAAATGAGGCTGATGAAGCTTCATGCCCCAGCATGAGACTTGGGTGGAGAACGATGCTGATGAGCAGACAAAGGCTTGGGCAGATGCTCCCAGGCCGAGGTGCTATTAGCAGGGGTTTGGGAAGCAACTGAGAAACACAAGTAAGTCACTGGGTGTCACCGAGGGGCGGGGAGTCACCGGGCCCTGTGCCCCCATCCACATCCAGACGTGACTCGCAGCTGGCAGGTAGAACAGAAGGTTTGTTATGTCATGGGGGACAGTGTAGAACAGACTTGTTAGCACAGGGACCAGACACCACAATGTGTAGATGGATTTGGCTTACCTGGCAGGTTGGCATTTTGTGTCCCTTAAGCTGACCTGACTGGCCTAGTAGAGCGGGCCTCAGGGAGTCATGCCCGAAATTCCCATTCCCATCTAGATAGCAGTGCAGTGCCCATGGAAACTGAGGCACACACAGTTCCACAGGACAGCACAGGACAGCGGGAATCACATGCAGCATAGTGGAGTGAACAGAACTGTGTGCCGCACTGTGTGACTGCTCCACGGGCATCTCCCCATTGCAGAGTGCTCCAAGCCAGGCTGTGACTAGCCAGCCCATCTCTGGGCACCCAGGGGATGTTTGGGTTTGTTACCAGCACTGAGCTTTGTACAATAGCCCAGGGAACATTGTGAAAAGGCAAAACCCTCCCGCCCTGGCTGTCTCTGGCCAGCCAGTGAGTGGCACAAAGGTTCCCAGCAGCACTTATTTTGGGTAGTTTGAAACAACCACCCACAGCTCACGAGGTGGGCTGAGTGGTTACGGCGATGGACTGCTAATCCATTGTGCTCTGCACACATGGGTTCCAATCCCATCCTCATTGGGTGTTTGCAAACCTCTCTCTTGCTTCTCCCAGAACTCTGTTCAGTTCAGTGCCAGCCCCTCCTGTAACACTACCTATCCCTGCCCCCTCCCACTGCAGTCTGGGGAAAGGGAAAATCTCCACAGAGACCTTCCCAGATGGGACCCTCAATCCCTTCTGCCCTCAAGGGGAAACCTCACAAAGGAGATTCCAGGCAGCCAGGCCATGGGGGTGTCTGAGATTGCCCCACCCCTGCAGCCTGTCCCACCTGGCTGTTAACATGGACTGTCTGTGAGGTCACTGCCTCCCAACCAATGAGCTGAGGTGCTGCAAAAGGCCTTTGTGATGTCACTGCTGCCTGGCAGGGCTCATGTCCTGCCCCTGACCAGCCCCTTGGCATGTTTGAGCTGCTCCCCATGTCCCACTCACTCAGGGTATGTCGACACTGCAAAGTTCTTTCAGAATATCAACTCGCAAAATAGCTATTTTGGAATAGTGCATCCACACTACAGAGAAACCTGAAAATTAGTTGGAGGCCAGCTCCCTTAATGCGGATGCACAACCACAATTTAGAGTCCCAAGAAGCTTTGGGCACTAATTACTTCAATGACTTGAGGGAGTAATTATTTCGAAATAGCAGTAGTGGAGTGTCCACACTCCTGCTATTTCAAAATAGTGCAACCTCTGCAGCCATGGAGAGTGACCCTCCTCTTCCCTCCCTTGGGATGGGCAATGGCAACATGTGGAGCAGCTTCTTTCCAAACCCTAATGAATGGTTCTGTGTCCCTGCCCCCTACATCTGCCTGGCCCTAGCCCAGCTGGGGCTTCTTCCCTTCCCCCCCCCACCCACCCACATCCCTTCTGTGGGGCTTCTTCCCTTCCCCCACCCACCCACCCACATCACTTCTGCCCCAGCCCCTCCTGCAGTTCTAACCCAGCAGCCCCGTCTCTGCCCCTCCGGGCACCTCTGTGCCTCCCAGGGTTCTTCCCCCACATCCCTGGGGCTGCAGAGAAGGGGAGGGCCTCTGGGCAATCACAGATCAGCAATTGGGGAGACAGGAGCCCTTTGGAGTGCAGAGATGGGCCAGACATCGAGGAGAGGCAGGGCTGAGTCTAGAGAAGCCCATTTCTTCGTTCCTGGGGTTGTTCCCCCCTCCCCTGGTCTCAGTGTGCCTCCCAGGGTTCTTCCCCCACATCCCTGGGGCTGCAGAGAAGGGGAGGGCCTCTGGGCAATCACAGATCAGCAATTGGGGAGACAGGAGCCCTTTGGAGTGCAGAGATGGGCCAGACATCGAGGAGAGGCAGGGCTGAGTCTAGAGAAGCCCATTTCTTCGTTCCTGGGGTTGTTCCCCCCTCCCCTGGTCTCAGTGACACTGTCTGGCCCTGGGATCCAGCAGCGCACTCTGTGGTTTGCAGGGCAGAGACTGCATCCATCCATCCAGGGACATTCCAAGTCGGGTGTGGGGCCCAGGCCTCCCTCCCCCACTCCACCCCTACCCCAAGCTCTGCCCCATCACAGCTCCACCCCTTCCTGCCCCCCATACCCTCTTCCCAAATGCTCTCTCTGTGCAACGTGAACCAGGGGATTACCTGGGGCCTGGTGCAGGGCAGCAGGTGTCCACCCGCCACACTCACCATGGTGGTGGGAGCTGGAGTGACCCAGCAGCTGGCTGCAGCGAAGCAGAGCATAACAGGACGGGAGATAGCAGCATTGCGGAGCAGGTTTCTGGGTTGTGAGTGCAGGGGAGTCCAACTCCTGCCACCTGGCCCCCCCACTAATACCCCCAGGCAGAGACCCCACGCAGCCTCCAGTCACCCCAACTCCAGGGCAGAAAGTCCAGGGAAAATTGCCATGGAGACTGCATGGGCCCAGAGAGGCTGCTTTTGGGGCGGTTAGTGGGATCTTCTTTCTCTTTTGCCCTTCTCCCCATTTCAGGGGCACAGTCTGAGGCAGGCGTCTGTATTCCAGAGCTGGAACCAGGGTCGGATTCTCTCCCCAGGGAGGGAGCCCGGCGGGAAAGTGAAGATTGGGGCCTCATGAACAGCATCGATAAATGTCACCTGCCCCCGGTCACAGTCCAGATAAACCCGGATCCTGCTGGTGCGTAGGTACAGCGGCAGGCGGGTATTCGGAATGGTGAGAGCCCAAAGATGACCTGACGAATGCTCCACAGCCCAGATCCCCCCCTCAGGCCTAACACTGATCCGTCCTTTCCTCCTCACAGACTCTTTGGCCACCCCCACGGCCCAGTGCTCCCTGTACCCCACCTCCACCTCCCAGCAATGTCTCCCCGAGGTGAAGCCCTCACAGCCCAGCACACAGGGCACAGAGTCAAATCTCTGTGAGGAATCAGGCACTCCCTGTGGAGTATTTGTCCATCTCACACGTTTCTGATCCTCAGACAGGACAAGCAGGGGATGGGCTGTGTCTGGATCCAGAGTCACAGTCACTGAGGAGAGAGAATCAGAGCGTGAGGGGCTGAGCTCAGCCCAGGGGGCAGCTGGGGCCATTTCTCACCCTCCCCAGCTGCCCTGTTCCGCCAAAGCCCTGGCTGGGTTGATTTAGTTGGGATTGGTCCTGCCTAGGGCAGGAGGCTGGACTTGATGAACTTCTGAGGTCTCTTCCAGGTCTTTGATTCAATGATACTGCAGCCTCCACTCCCAGGCTGGGGAAGAGCTGCCTCACCCCAGACAGCAGGGGCTGGATTTGGGTGGGGAAGCCCCAAGAGAAGGGAGGAGCGGACAGTATCACAGGCAGAGCATCACCCCAAGCAGGGAGCAGCTCCAATGGGAAAGCCCAGCCCTGTCTAGAGGAAAGGCTGGAAGGGGGAGAAGAGCGACAGGGCATCCCCTGCACCAGGGTACAGCAGAGGGAGGGGGCAGCTCAGGGCAGAGAGCTCCGTGTGGGTGCTGCTCAGGGAGGGTTTCTGTGCAGCAGCCTGGGCAGGATCTCAGCGCCACAGCTGGTGTCAGGTGTGTCTGTGTGACGGCAGCTGGGGATTCCCCCTGAGTTCCGGAACCCTGGTGGAACTGGGAGGGGAGGGGGGGAGAGAGGGAAGCACGAGGTCCCACAGCATGTGACCATACCCCTCCACGGCCCTGCCTCCTCTTCCTCTTGTGAGTGAGGTCCTGCCTTCTGCTCTGGCTGGGAGCCTTGGGTGCCAAGGGGTCCCCCTGACCCTCCACCTGGCCTGGGACAAGGCCATGTCCCCGCTCCTTGGAGTACACCACCCAACGCAGGGTCCATGGCTCAAAGGGTAACCGGGCCCAATATGGGGGGGCAGGGCCTTAAGGAAAGAGGTGCTGGGGTGCAGCCACTGGGCTTAGGCAGGGCTGCCTTTGTGGTGGGAAGCTGATCAAGGGCCCCACCACAAAGGGCAGCCACAGCCTGCAAAGCTCCAGGCCTGCCCAAGGGTTGTAGTTTGTGGCCCCAAAACTATCCCCATATTAGGAAATAGAGTGGCCTGGTCATCTCACTTCTTCAAGTGGGAAACCTACAGCCCCCCCGGTCACATCGGAGCCCGTGCTCTTGGGTCTCCTCATCGATAAACGAGTTTTAGGGCTCTGCGTGTCGTGGTCACTGTGGGTTTGGTTGGTAACTTTAGCTTCAATCCCATGAAGATGTTTTCACTGGAATTTTCTCATCATTTAAACCAGTGGTCCCCAACCATTTGGGGTTGCTGGGCGCCAGGGGGCATGGCCGTTCGCCCACCGGGCGCCCGGGGGGTGGGGCCCCCCCATAGCCGCATTCCGGGGCCGGCGCTCTCCCCTCAAGCGCCGCGCGTCCAGGGCCGGTGCTGGTGCTCTCTCCTCCCCCTCCCCCAAGCGCCGTGCGCCCGGGGCCGGGGCTCTCTCCCCCCCTCCCCAAAGCACA